TGTGTATTCTGGGTGTGCATTCAGCTTAGGCAATGCATCCAGCAGTGCCTGGGATTTGATGCGCCCATCACATCTCCAACAATGAGTAATTATACATTTCAGTGGAGACCTCACATTTCCAGCTTTGTAACAACCACAAGCATGACACTTTTTTTTTTTAAATGGCAAAAAAAAAAAAAGTAGTTGCATGAGCTAAAATTTTCTGAAAGTACCAAGAAGGTCTGAAGATCTGGCTTCTCCCCTCCCTAAAATCAAGATCCCCAGCTCATACCACTTCACTAATCATAGCAAGGCCTTGAGATTTCACATTGGAGAGCCTGAACCTGATAGGTTGCACTGGGAACCTGCTCTGACCCTTCTAAGAGTCCTGAGAGGGCCTCCCTTCCAGCTGCTGGCCACAACTCCCTTCAGGTCCTCCCTCACCATCCCCTTCATCTCATTGTTTCTTACCAGTGCAAGAGAGACAACGGTCTCCACTTCTCCGTCTCACTGGTGAGACAGAAGACAGGGAGGGCACCAGGGCTCTCCTCTTGAATCAGATTCCTCCACAGTCCCAAAGCTCAGCTACTCCCCACTAGTGCTTGGCCTCTTCCCAGCCTGAGTGACAAGAAGGAGACGGAGGTGGCAGCTGCAAAGAGCCTGCTCTTTCTGTGGGAAAGGTTGCTGGGAGAGGGAAAGGTCCTTTGCATGCCAGATTGTGAGAGGAGACAGGAGGGAGGATGGGAATTTGGAGACCCCCTGTCGGTTCTCTGCCCTTTTCCCATGGCCCAGATGTTAGCTGGCAGCCAAACTGGCACTGTGCTCAGAGTATTTAGAGAGTGAAGTACAACAGCCAGCTGTACTGTGGGCCTGCACAGTAGGCTGGGAAAAGACCAGGAACAGAGGGATATTTTTACCTCACTTTTTCCACTACTGCAGTGTCTCTCATGCAGCATGTGAATGGTCTGACTCTTGTCCCTGGAGTGACGGGGAAAGAGAGGCATGAGGGACTCAGCACCTTGCAAAGAGCAATGCTGAGTGCAACCAAAGAGCCAGTAACAGCTCTCCCGCTCCAACCATTGGACAGAACTGACAAGTCAGTATGCTTCGAGTTGCAATTTACACACTTCCCCGGCCTCAGCCCTCTGACCAAACATAGAGCTAGTCTGAAGCACACACACCCTGTAGGGTTAATACAGCCAACTCATTGGCAGGTCTGGTCTAATTCAGATGTTTGGCCTGCACATTGATAAGATCCTACATAAAACTGCTGCACCATCTGAAAGTTGAGTTTTTTGAGAAAGATAAAAGCAACAGTTTATGCTGTAGCATATTAGCCCCTTTAGATTCATTGCCTTTCTTCACATAGGTAGTTGTTACTGAGAACGTTATTGTCAGCTCTGAGCAGCCACTCTCCTGGAGAAGGGCCATGGGGCCGAGTACATGGAGAAAGGACAAAGCTACCTCCAACAGGCCTACTTCATTCATGCTGCCCATTGTTGATTCAGTAGCTGTGCAGGGACTGGAGGCACTAGATCAACATTGGGCAAAAACTAGAGCATCAAGCTGATGACAAAGGGAGCTTTCTTTCCAAAGCAACGCTTTCCTGTATGTGTATGCAATGTTGGGATAAGAAGGTTTTCACAGTTTTTCTTCCCTTTTGGTGCACCTCCCCTTCTTCCACCCAGAAGAAAGGAGATAGGAATACGAGATACATGAGATATGAATGAGATACATGAGATGATAGGAATAAAGTTCCTTCAGCCGTTGATCTGGCTGATGGCACTCCTTTCTACCTGTGAACAACATAGGGCTTCATAGATGCTCCCCCAACTAGGAAGGGAGTCAAAATAGTATCACTTCTCATGGAGGAGAGCAGGGACAGACTCCAAAGAACATTAGAAGCTAGTTTTAATTTCCTGTGCAGGGGGTAGCTTCCCATTTCACTACAAATAATTGCTTGTACACCTAAAATTTCTGGAGTCCTGCCTTCTTACCCACATGTACATCACACACATGCTGCGTCCCCCATCACCTCCCACATTAGAAGGTGTGAATGTACCTGGCTGGATGTCAGCACACACCCAACCAGGTAGTGTATTGCAGTACCTGAACAGGTATGAGACTGCCGAGTGCATGTTTAGCTGAAGGAACAGATAATGTGTGGCGAGATCATGCATCAGATGTGTTCTTCTCCAACAACTGCATCCCAGAGACCTGCCTGTCACAGACAACCCAACACTTTAACATCACCTTAGTAACTACAAAAAAAGTCTTGGGATTTAAAGAAAGTTTTTTGGGATAAGCCTGTCTTTCATCAGGATGATCAGTTGGGTCAAGCATTTGCAATCTGCTTCCCTGGTCTAGCAAATGTCCTTGTCCTTAGCTCCATACTTAGCTGGGATTTCTCTTTCTTTGTGATGGAGACAGCAGCCACATAGCGTGGTCCAGCGGCGCCTCTTGGAAGGCAATCTGAACAAGCTGCGGGGCGAGACCAGGGTTCAGTCTGCATGGGTTCAATCTCCGCTGGCAAAAGACCAGGATGAAAAGATGGAAAAGGGAGAGGACAGGAGAAAAGAGACTTCACCCCTGCTAATACAGTGCCAGGTAAGGCAACAACATGCTGCTGCTGCTTTCACAGTGATGGCAAATGCTCAATGAGTTCCAGCTGCCCCACTCCCAAGGGCCATGCTAAGTTATTAATTGCAAAGCCAGCTGCAGCCAGAGAGAGCAGATTTCCCGCACGGCCTCTCCTAGAGTTTGGATTCAGTTCTTCCAACAGACAGAGGAAAGCCTTTCTGCCACATGCATTCTAGTTGTCCATATTTGAAGATAAATTACCTTAATCACATCTCCTTCCTTTGGAGGCCAGCTTTCCCATGATATGAGGTATTTCATAACTGCACACAGAAGCAAGGAATGTCTCCTTATCACTTTAAGACAGGTGCCCTAGTTGATTTACACTTACTAGATCCAGTCTGGTCTGATTCCCTCAGGTGTCAAAGGACATCCTAAGAAAGTGGCTAACTGTGCTCTGAATTAGCACTGTTGCATTTCTTGATGGAAGCAGTATTTTTAGCTCCCTTTTCTTCTTATATCCTCTGATACAGCAGAACACACTCCTCCCTGGCCCCTGTAGGTGAGAAAGCACATCCAAAAGCTATGCCCCATGAAAGAGGGCTGCATGGTTAGAGCTGTTCAGTAATATGCAGATATGACACTCACCAAGATATAGACCTGGTATACAAAATCCATTTTAAAGCTGTGTTTATTTCAGTTACCTGTCCTAAAGAACGTCTCACATGTTAGAGTGTAAAGTCTACACTTCCAGGAAAAACACATACACCTTTGAAAATTCAGTTGTCACAATTAATTATCACATTGTTCTGGTTTTGGCTGGCACAGAGTTAATTTTCTTCATCGTAGCTCATATGGGGCTATGTTTTGGATTTGTGCTGGAAACAGTGTTGATAACACAGGGATGTTTTCGTTACTGCTGAGCAGTGCTTACACAGAGTCAAGGCCTCTTCTGCTTCTCACCCCACCCCACCAGCGAGTAGGCTGGGGGTGCACAAGAATTCGGGAGGCAACACAGGCGGGACAGCTGACCCCTAGTGACCAAAGGGATATTCCATACCATATGACATCATGATCAGCATATAAAGTTGGGGGAGGAAGTGGGGGACGTTCAGAGGGATGGCGTTTGTCTTCCCAAGTCACCGTTATGCGTGATGGAGCCCTGCTTTCCTGGAGATGGCTGAACACCTGCCTGCCGACGGGAAGCAGTGAATGAATTCCTTGTTTTGCTTTGCTTGTGTGTGCGGCTTTTGCTTTACCTATTAAACTGTCTTTATCCCAACCCACGAGTTTTCTCACTTTTACCCTTCCGATTCTCTCCCCCGTCCCACCACGGGGGAAGTGAGTGAGCGGCTGTGTGTTGCTGGCTGGGGTTAAACCACAACACACATGAACACAGCCTCGTAGCAAGGTTCTGAAATGTTCAGATCGGGTGTCTCAGGACCGTGCAAAGCCACTGTCTGGTTTGTTTTCCATCCTTCACTGTTGCAGTTAGGCATTGCTTACTCTGAGTTTTAGACTCCGATGCAGCTATGTTAACCACACTTGGGAAAACAGACTAGTAGGATGAATGGCTGTCAGTGTAATTTCTCCAAACAGCTGGAGTCTTTTTTTGAGCAAATGAAGGTGTTTCTTTTTCTTTAATCACCGCTCTGTATTGTTCTGTAAGAGGAAACTCAATGATAAAGGGTGTTTTTTTGCCAGGCATGTACATCGAACAAGGACAGGCATGCATAGGTATCATATCCCAGGGGCAGTAGCTAACTCAGCGTCAGAGTCCACTACTCGTTCCCTTTTTGTGTTTCTAATGGACTGTATCCCAGCTGTCACACACATTACATTTTCCTTCATGGAAGAAGATTAATGAACATCACAGTCAAGAAAATAGGTCTAGTGCTGCACTTAACTCTTCCTGAACTTGATACCTTCTGCACAGGCATTTCTCTCTTTTTCTGTCCTTCTTAAGAGCTAGTCACTGTTTGTCACACTTAATCTTCTTACACTGAAGGAAGGGAAGCTCTCCTCCCCTTCTTTTTAGGCTTGCTGCTTTTCATATTCACATTTGTGAACTTCAAAAAGCCTCACCTGTAAAGTAACAGATCTATGGCAGGAAATAGCACTCAGGCTGCCAGTTCATTTTAACCAGAGAGGTGAGCTGGTACTTTTGGGAGAACTACTTGACTATGGTGTAGTTTTTGTAGAGAAATGGAACACGACCCCAGTGAAGTTTCTTCTCTCTGACAGCAGCTCCCGAGAAAAGATCATCTACCAGCATAAAGCTTCCATTTACACTCAGGCAAGTACACTGAAAATTTCGAAGTGGTAACAAATGCATCACATGACTAGTAACTGAACTTGACTAGGAAATAAAGCTGAATATATGTAGACTTCAGTGATACAGGGACATTCAGGCAATAAGTGTTTTCACTCTAACAGGTTATAGTTGCCCTGTGCCTTAGGCCTTTTTAAGTTTCAGAGATCACAGACAGACCCAGTCTACAATAGTTGTACTGCAGAGTCACTCACTGTCCTATTTACTTAGGTGGGTTGCTCATATGGTACTTTAGCAGAATTGCCCCTTTTTGTGGCAGTTTTTGCAAAGCACTTTGGAAAGCTTGCCATGACTGGTATCTGCATCGTAAAATCAAGCTGTTATTTTTTGTGGTGAGGCTTGTCTCTTGTTCACTTGCAAATAGATGCTGAAAGATTCCACTGCTGTCCAAGTCTGCTTTTCCTCTGTGCCAGAGCAACCTGGGATTAATCAGCCTTCGTTGGTTAAAGCAACTTCTTGACTTTGGAACTGACATTATTTCAGAAAACAAAGCTCTTTATAAATGGTGATCCCTGCCGATTCCCCTCCCCTCTTTCTCTTTCATGGAAATCCCCATAATTGACCTTTGGGTGAAGACTAATGGTGACTGGTAGTAACAGACTGAAAATTCTGAGGCAGAGATGAGAGCGGGTAATGTGATGAAAAGTCCTCTTAGTCAAGAAGGCTTGCAGTGCTTGTCAGCTGCCTGTGTACTCCTTACCTAATCTGCATTATATTTGTGGTATGCTGGACCAAGGGCTCTCCTCAGGCTCCTGGTGAGTTCTCTGGGCAAATAGTAGTATAATTGGAAGTTGGATAGCTTTTGTGACGCTGCTGGAGCTGATAAGTGTGCAGGGCTGTTTACCACTGAATGAGATTAAATGTTTTCTACAGAATAATCACTGTCCTGTTATATCCTAGCAAGTTTCTAACTAGCAACTTTCCCAGCTTGCTCTGAAACAAAACTCAAGAATCTGCCTAGCGATACAGTTTAGGTTTATTATCACAACAGTGCTAACAGTTCATGCATCTCAGCTCTGCCTGCTCCCAAAGTGACTCCTTAGTAATTGCTATCCATACTCCAGGTCTTCTGTTTCTGAAGAGCTGATGGAATGCCTGTGAATGAGGAAGACCTGATTCAGCTAGACAGTTGGCAGGTTGCAGTCTGGGCAGATATGGTAGCATACCTGACCTGGCACTCATGGCTAATATACCTGCTTAGGTAGCGAGGAGGCACAGGGAAGACTCTTCTATGAAGCACAGTACAGAGGATGAAGAGGGAGATGCTTAGCATGTATCTGCACTTTGTGCTTTATCTTGCCTCTTGCCTTGTGGCCTTGCTTAGTCTGGCCAAAATCCTTCCAGGCAGGGCTGATGTGTCAGTGAAGACCAGACAGCACAGACATTACAGAGCTCTAAAAGCAGAAGGAGAGGCATTTTGTCATAGAATCATAGAATGGTTTGGGTTGGAACGGATCTTAAAGATCATCTAGTTCCAACCCTCCCTGCCATGGGTAGGGATAAGGGACTGTCCTCTGGGTCCAGTCAATTTCCAGGCTGTTTTCTCTCTAGAAGCCTGGACTTAGTAATACCAGCTTTTGTCACAAACAGCTGTTGTCATGAGGTAAGGCGGGATCTCTTCAGTTGGCCTTGGAGACCTCTATGGGCAGGCACTACTTCTGGTCCTGAATGTTTAAACTTGACATGCCAGGCAGCCTGGAGCCATGGCGGCAATGTTTTTTCTTGAACAAGCAGAAGTATTGCCAAAGTCAGGAGCTTCTAAATAGAGTGCTTTGCAGCTCTTCCCCTTCTGTGAGGCGTTAGCATGCTCCCCCACTTGCTTAGAGCAGATTTGTGCCAAGAGGCAGGAGGCATACATGAACGAAGGGCAAGAGAACTGGTGTGCATTCTGGGAACAGGCAGCAGCTCAGGTGGATCTCCTACCAGCTCTGTCATGTGTGATCAGTATTACAATGGGACGGCAGTTCAAGCTGCTCCAAAGTGAAATGGGACTGCTCATTTGTGAAGGAGCTGGGGGAATATTCCTGTATGAATGCGCAAAGAACTGCAAGAGAGAGCTTCTGGGGGCTGGTTTCTCTGTGCGACTCTCATGAATCTTCCAGCTGGTATCAGGTCAGTTAAGTTTTGTGTTCTCCCAACCTATGACTTGGTAGTTCTGTGGCAATTTCCACAACATGTGCCAAAAGAGCAACCTTGGATTGAATGTAGTTGCCAGTGTGGCTGAGACTGTGAGAAGCACATGATATAATGGGGAAGGCACAGTGCTGGCAGCCAGAAGTTTGTGAGGTCTGTCTTGGCTTTGGCTTTCCTAAAGTATTTAGCATTATATGCCTCACTTGGGTCTTGTAAGAAGTCACAACTGTTTGCAGTCGCACGGGACTGTTAATTAATTGGACATAATTCTTTATGAATAAGACATGCTTTTTTACATTAAAGAAGAAAAAGTATAATAACCAAATCAGGAGCTGTTGAAAATATGCACCTATGCATATTTTCTGTATAGATACTGCTTGAGCACTGCTCTCCTTGTTCCTGGATGAGGCCACACATGGTGAATGCTCATCTTTCTAAAACTACTGATGTTATTTAAATATACATCATATATACATATATGAGTCTTACATGATTCTTGATGAACTCTGTAAAACAATATAGGTTGAGATCTCTAGCTCCAGGGGTCTTGCAGTTCTTGAGAATTGCTCAACTAAATGGCCATTCTGGTAATATGGTGTATCTAAATGTTCAGAATGATGAAATTCTCTACACTGATGTACTGCAGATGCAGTTTAGACCAGAGGAAGAGCTCCAAGACAAAACAGACTTGAAGTTTCCAGCATGCGCTCTCTGAGGTTGCCTTGAGTGCAGTTAGCACTCAAGCTACTATTGGTGTTGTGTCTGTTTGCAGCATTCCAGTATTTCTCACAGGAGTTGTTTTCTCCTTTCTCTTTATAATAACTCACAAATAGCGCATGTTTGAAAATGAAATCTTGGAAATACTGGATGTAGCTTCTCTGTGATGATTAACCCATGTAATAATCATAAACAGATTTAGTTAAGAAATCAGGAAATTGAAACATTTTTCTTGACATTTTTCTTGACTGGTGCTGCACTGAGTCCCTGATGGTCAAGCTGATCTGCTTAAGGTGTTCAAAGCATTTAAGCTCATCAGGAATGAGCATAAGGATAGAGGAGCGGTGGGAGGTCTGTTGCTGCTTCTGAGTGGCTCATGGCACTGAGTTGCCATAGTGGGTGAAAGAGAAGGAATCACAGGAAAAATACAAATGATAGCAGGAGGAAAATGAGCCTCCCAAGAGGGAAACTTTGTAGTTGGGTTTTCTTTGGGTGTTGGTGCAAGACAGAGCCTTGAAGAACTAGGCTGTCAAGAATGGGTATGGTTAGGCACCATGTATGTATGTAGGTGCAAGCCATATTCTGTAGATGGCAGTTACTCCATCTTTTCCAGTTCTTTTACTAAGTCCTGCTCCTCCTTTTTTTCCTGAACATAAGTCTTACTTATGTTCAGGAAGTTACTTACTTACTTACTAAGTCCTTGACAACCCTATTTTTTCAGACCTCTACCATATATGAGACCTGATGTTACTTCAGCACCTCTGGCCTGCCATTAAGGACCTCTGTGCAGAGGGGACAGAAAACAGATGGCAACCACATCTCCTGTTCCCTTTCAAGTGCAAAGGGGTGAAGAAATGAAGTGGGCAAGGCACTGGGGATTGTTCCAGTATGATCATGCAGAGGTGACTTGGGTGTAGGGCATCCAGTCTCTCCCTTTGCTCAATGACACCAGCTGTGAATATTGTAGTTGTAGTGTTCATATCATATTTCCTTAAAGAGCTGTCTAGAAACTTAATGTAAGCCCCACACAAAATAGACACCTCTTGATTAGGTTGTTTCTTGGATTTAAGAGTCACTTGGATGTGTCAGTTATCTTGGGAACTGCCTTAAATTCAAGCTCTTCTCAGGGATGCTTGTCCTGGGTGCACCTGCTTCACCCACAGACTTCTCCCTCTGGAAGCTGTTCAACTGAGAACAGGTGTCTAGCCCTGGAACATTGTTCCCTGTGACACCAGAAGAAATGGAGAGAGGAAACCTACAAAGGCTGTAGCACATGCTTATATTACTTTAGAAGCTTTTGTCATATCAATTATTGCTCTGCTAATAAAGTCCATGTGGGTTTTCTGAAAAAATTCACTAGTTATGCATCTTTTGACTGGAATACTGCTAAGTTAAAGTCGCTAATAACAGATAAGTGTCTGGGCAATCAAATACAAATTAAAGAAGACAAATTCAAAAAGAAGCCTTTGGCAGAGGTTTGCAGAGCACTGGGGAGACCACCGTTGTCTTGAATGAGTCTCCTGCCTTCTGACTACTGCCTAAAACACCACATCTTTGGCTGTGTTGCTAAGGAAGGTCTAAGGGATTGTCACACTGTTGGAGGAGTGGGTATGCCAATTTTGAGCCCACAGTAATTATCTGTTATTGTTTTTTCTAGTGCCAAGGTCAGGTATTGAAAGCGACTGTTAACACTGGGTGTCTACCAAATCTCATCTCCAAGAGCTGTTTAAACCAGCTGGGGTAAGTCTTTGCACAGTAGAAAAGGAGGGCTGGCTAAAAGAAAACCTATGACAAGAACGTAGGCACTCTTGACTCCCATCCCCAGTGATAATTACTAGGAGCTTTGTATGTGCACATGGCTGTTTAGGAGAAGATGCAGAGGGTGGGCTACAGGGCAAGGCATCAGAAGCACTGGCAAAGTTGTGTGCAGACCCCAGACTAGGAGGCAGAGCTGTGTCATTCTGTCTGTGTGTACTGCAGTGCAAAGCTGCCCAGCTGATGGTTAGCCTCAGCGGTGAGGACAGCACCTTATGGTTTTGCTTGTGGAATCTGCCTCCAGACATGCTGTATAAAAGAGTTTCCTCCTCTTGTGGGCCTGTTCCCAATGAGACCAAGAAGTACTGCCATCAGTGAGAAGTCCTGTTTTTTCTCCTCTTCCCCCACTTGAGGCAATAACACATCTTGTGTCCCACAGGCTGGAAGAAGTGTCTGTCATGGACTGTGGAGACCTCTCTCTTCCCATCCCCAGCGTTGTTGGCCGAGTAGAACATATGGAGTTGCAATTTGGCCAGGAGACAGTGCTGTGTTCAGCACTGGTTGTAGGTGAGAGTGCCAGCCCCTCCTTCCCCTCAGTTTTCCTGTGTCCCTCTTGCCCTGCCAAGGGCATTTAAAAGGATCTCTGGGAAAAATGTAATGCGGTGGGAGGTTGGTGATGTGGTCACCTCCACTGCTGGCCAAGATCATTATGCACTGTGAATACCCTCAATGTAACCAAAGGCAAAGGGCACAGGAACAGTACAGAGAAGACAGAAGACATTGAAAGTGGGGAGAAATGAGGTGCTTTTTGGTCTTTCCACATCTTTGGATGTGGAAAATTCTCATTTCCTTCTAAAACGGACCTTTCTTAAAATTATCCAGGTTGCTTGATTAGTCCTCTGGTGCCCTATGTTCTCCTATTGAATGAGCACTTGTGTCTTTGGCTGGATGGAAGTCATCAGAGAAACTGACAGAGGGTACAGCTTATTCTCCAGCGTGTTTCTGTGTGTACTCATCTGCCTCTGCTGCAGGGAGCACCCTGGAAGAACCTGGTAGCCCCAGAGTGCTGAGTCTCCCTCGGTGTCCTCAGGCAGGACCCTTTGAAGGAAGGAGCTGTAGGAGACAAGGTCAAGTCAGCAGGCACTGGAGCACACCCAGAAAACAGCAGAAAGGCTGTTTTCTCCTCCTCTCTCTCCATGTTCTGCATTTACATCAAGCTGTGCATATGCTGAAAATAACTTGGTCGTCTTTTTTTTCCCTGTTCTTTCTCCCTTCCAGCTTTACCCTCTTGCCTTTGTCTGTCTCCTCATCTTTGATGATTACTATTCATCTTCCAAGGCCTCCCTTGCTCCCTCTTTTCATGTCCATTTTTCCCACTTTCCTAGTCATCTAGAAAGAGCTTCCTCCTCTTCCACACTCCAGCTCACTCTTCCTCCCTGGTTTCCCCTCTACTTGTTCTTGCCCTTCATGGGGAGACTGTATTAGTACCAGCACAGGTGAATTTAGCCCAGTAGCAGCTATCCATTTTGCTGGGATGTAGAAATGGCTGCCTGGAAGGAGCAGAATTGCTACATTGGTGCCTTACATCTCCCTGTGCACACAGTGCTCTTGCTTATGTGGTTACATATAAATTATAAAATACAGCCACTGGTTACAGGGCAAGCAGGCATCCAGGAGACATGGGAAGTATTAATGATGTTACCGGTAGCTGCTGAATCCTGCAGACTCCAGGACCTGGGAATTCCTCCTTTCCTGCCACTGAAGTCCAAATGGATGACTCTAAGACCCAAGGAGGTCACTCTTGCCCAGTCCAATGCATGTTCTTCGAGGCAGGTTCAGACAGTAGCAAGGCTGAACGTACATTCCAGAGAGGCACATATGGAGAGGACACAGACAAGGCCAGCCACACAGGTTACCACACACAGAGCAGTGCCTTTACCAGCACTGGTAGCCCAGTCCTGGTCCTCCTCTCTGGCTGACCAGGAATGAAGTTCATTAGCAGAAGCTCATACATCCTCAGCAGAAGCTCATGCATCCTCAGTCTCTAGATTCATAAGCACACTCATATTCACAGAATCTTCAAATAACAGCACAGCTTCTAGGTCTGTCTTATATCCATTTCTGGACCCTGGGCCCCTTACCTAGCCACGGACCCAGACCTTGAGTCTTTCCAGATGCAGGTTTCCTCCTACTCACTGGCCAGACCAGATTGAAGTTTGCTAGCTAATTATGTATACAAAACCACAAGCATATAGGATTAAATTCACTGGGGAAATATAGACACACCCAAGCCTTTCTAGTTAGTGGCATTTAGACCTCACCCATATGCCCTGTCCTCTTCAGTTGCTGGCTCGTAAACCTAAGGCCCCTGTGACCCTGGTCAGAGCTAGTACCCAGATCTCCCTTGCAGGCTGATCTCTCCAGTTGCTGGCACCTAGACCTACAAGCTCTGTGACCTATAGTCCTTCTCCAATTACTGGAACTTAGACTTTGCAGCACACATTGTGGTCCCTCCAGTTGCTGGCACTCAGGTGTATGAGCCCTATGGGCTGTGCTCCCTTCCCTAGCTACGGGCACCCAGAGTTCTCTTGCACACCGGTCTCTCTAGTTGCTGGCACCTGTGAGCTACGTCCCCTTCTCCAGTTGCTGACACAGACCTATGAGCCCTATGGCCTGTGGTCCCTTCAGTTACTGGCACCTCTCTTATATGCCAGTCCCTCCAGTTGCTGACATCTAGAGCTATTTGCCCTTTAACCCGTGGCATCTTCTACACTTGCTGACACTTAAGACCTGCAGCAGCCACATGTAGGATAGAGAGGTTACACAGAAAAAAATTACTTAATAGAATTATTTAATAAGAAGATCAGCTAGATTGCGGCCGTCAGGCACAGGGTTCGGTCAGACAAGTGAACTGATCAACAGCCCGCTTGTATGTGACTGGCCCCCTTATCCCCCGTCCTCTCCATTTTTCTATGCTTGTTCTTCCCTGATCCACCCTGCTGCTTGCCTTCTCCTGCCTTTGGCCCTTCCCCTACACAGCGCGTAGTAAGTTTTACATGATCCCACAAGCCCCTTCTGATATCTCATAGTAAGTTTCAAACAATCCCACAAACTCCCTCAAATATCTCATAATACTCATGATAATCATGGTTTCCTCCTCTTATCAGCTACAAAGTTCATTTTGGCCCTCTTCAGGGCTGTGCCTAAGTAGCTCCTTTAATGGCTCATCAGTCAGTGGCAGAAGAGTGCTGGTCTTTGTTATTGTCACTGTTACCACCTGCTTGTTAATGTTTGTGTGTTTAGTTCATCACTTTCCTTGTTATTTGTTATTTACTTTATACTGAATTGACCATAACCACATAACTTTATGAACCAGATGCTCTCATATTCCACATCCTCTTATAGGAGAGACACACTTTCTTTAGAGGGGCCATATATATAGACTTGAGCCTGATCAGTCTCTTCTCTCTTCTCAGATGATGAAATGCTGGAGTTTTGCATTGGTCTCCAAACTCTGTTGTCTCTCAAGGTAAGGAACAGCTTCTTGCTTATTGCAGGGCTCATCTCAACAAGTTCTCCAAGATTTGGTTGCTGGAAGCATCAGAAATACTTATGGCCAGGTCTTCCAGGGTGCCACTTGCAATGCTTGTTGCACAGCTGCTTAGCTGGCTGCAGTATGCTCTGAGTCACTGATTCCTTTCTAGTCCTTCTTAAAGGTTTTAAGGAAGGAATCACTCGATAGGATACTACCACATCTCCCATTCTTTGTATTCCTGACCATACGAGTTGTAAACAGGAAGAGGAAACTGAAGAGGAGACTAGAAAAGGCAAGGCACACTGTGTCACGAGTTATATCTGTGTTGCCTTTTGAAGGCAGATGTGAACAAGCTCTGCCCTTTCTTTGAGCCAAATGAAGCTGTATGATCACATTCAGTGTCCAACATTAGCTGGACACAGGTGGAAAGAGTCCTTTCCTTTTGTCAGCTCTGCTGAGCCTGGCTCCTGGGCGGCTCAGAATATGGCTGCAGCAAGCTTGCTCCTGCCTGTCAATTATTTGTAGCCACGTCACTCATAAAGCAGGAAAAGCATTGTACTGAATGGCTGAGTGATGTGAGGACATCACCTCAGAGGGAGTCATAGGAAGAAGGGAGGGGAATGGCCCTGTGAAGGGTCTGGAAAGGAATCCATTGAAGGGAATAGGAGCAAGAAGGCAGCATGGGGGACAGGGAGGGGAACTCTAAGGTCTCTACAAACCCAAAGTGGGGTTGTTTGATGGTTATACAGGTTTTTCCCAGTCATAGACATCGTGAGATTTGCTATCTGAAATGTCCAGAAAGTAACTGGCTCTCCCCTTCTTTAGTGTTGCATCGACTTGGAGGAAGGAGTCCTGAGGTTTAAAGCACTGAGTCAAGAGCTGCCTTTTCTACATGCCTCTGAAGAGCCTGGTCAGTGACTGGCTGCATTCCCCATGTCTGGGGCTGAGGAGACTTGCTGCCATGAGAGAGAGATGAGGGTGAGGCTCACATGCCCCTAACCTTGCTGAGTTCTAGGCTGAGGCGTTCACTGGGCATTGATAATAAGGCAAATGGGTGCTGGAAGCTGTTGTTGCTGGGAGTGCCTCATCTTGAGAAATACCACTCCTTTCAGTGGACCCTCTTCCTCGTCCCCATGTGCCGAGTGGGCATTTTGTTCTTGTTTTTCTATCTGTCCCTAGTCACTCCAATTTCTGCTTCTGTACTAAATTCACTCTACCCTTTTAATTACTTATTTTTACAGTACCCTCTGCTCCTGAGACAAGAGAGTCTCTGTGAAAAATCTCCAGTTTTTCTGTGGACAGGAGGATGGCGCTTTCTCCAAAAGCCTGCAAAGATTGCCATGAATGTTTCCCTTCTCTTTGCCTCAGTGTGAGTGGACTCCACTCCCCTTTCTTTGTGAGAAGGGCTCTGTGGCCAGTCCCCTCACCTGTACTCTGGGAAGCTGGGTTTTGTTACTTTTTGCTGGCTCAGAGCAGAACAGAAGTATTTTCTTGGAAAAACCTTGCAGCAAGAACACTTTTAGAGTTCTTAATTCTAAGAAACATTTGCAGAAATGCTGAGTGTAGATGCCTAGAGTACAGTGGACGCTCACAGGGGCTTGTGCTTTGCCATGGCATCCTTGGCCACTAAGCTGTATTATATGAATGGCAATGCTTATCATCTCTTGGTGTTATACGTAGTAATCAGACTTGCACACCCTGTTCTTCTGACCAGGCCTCTCCTCTCTGCACTCCAGCTGCTAGAGCTACATTCCTATCACCTCTGCTGCATCCTCAGAGATCCTGCCACTCAGTTTAAATGCTGCGATGAATTACAGCGCCCAGAGTCTTCTGCTCTGTCAGCTCCTTTCTTTCAACTTGAAATCTAGTGATTGGACACAGACACATCATCAGCCTCAAGTCCCAGCATCTCACAGCCCATCAACTTTGCTACTGCTGCATGAAACAAGAACTAGACTTCCTTGCAGTATCAGCTCAGGTCAGAGAACTGTGAACTCATCTGGGATGACCAGGGTGATTATTAAGTCACTTAATTGTTGGGGTTTTTTAATTTTTTTTTTTTAAATTTTTTTAGTTTTTTAACAGAGCATAGCTGTATGATAAATACATAGTCTATTCTTTACTAGCTCTTGGAAAGATGCACCAGATCAGGGCTTGTTCCATGCCTCATGACTACAGATTCACTACCCAAACTCTGCATAATATCCCTTTGTCCACCCTTAGAATGGCATGACATCCCCATTTTGCCTACCTTCCTGGATTAAACACTGCTGGCTCTCTTCCTTTTTTATCAAACTGCGCATTGTTTCTGTTGTGCTTCTCGAAGAACTTGTGTATGCATTTTTGCTTTTTTCTGTTAGTTCTTTCCTAAATCAGATGCAGTATTCTGTAGTTTAACACATGCTAAGGACAGCAGAGTTACAGCCTGGCTGATACGATTTGTGATGCACTTACCAGTGTTAGTTGGTGTGACTGGCATCTGCTCCTTCTACAAGCTGCATCAAGCTAGTGACTTTTATTGTTAGTCATCATATCTTGCAGCTTCTTTGCCGTTCTATTTGTGCATCTGATTATTTCTGGCTGCATGAACTGCTTTCCATGAATGTCCTGAATGCCACCAACAGTTCTCTCATTTATGTCAGGACCCATGTCTACTCGATGAGCCTGTCTTCCAAAGTACCAGTAATTCCTCCTGGATTTGTATCATTTACATGTCTGACTGGGTTCTCAAACCCAGGGGTCTCTAATGACAGTTCAGACTTGTATTAAACCATCCTGTGTGTCAGCTGGAATCTCTGTGGTACCTGGGTCAACTCTGCTCAAAAATCTTGTTTGTGAGAGATGAAACACCTGTTCCTATGTGCAGCAACTCACCTAGCTTCCAACTGCCATTGCCCTCTAAAAATGGCATGTGGAGCAATGGCAAAAAATCTGCTAAAGCTGACAGATGCTATGTCCATTACGTCTCTTATTATTCATTAACTTTTATGATCTATTTAAAAAAAAAGACCCGAACCCTAAACCCTAACCCTAAACATTAAAGCTAACTCTAGCCCTAACACAAACACTAACCCCTAACCCTAACCCTGAATCTAACCCCGAAAAGTAACCCTAACCCTAAATTTAAACCCTAAAACCCCTAACCCCTAAACCTAACCCTAACCCCTAAACCTAACCCTAACCCCGACCCTAACCCCTAATCCTAAACCCTAGCCCCTAACCCTAAACCCTAACCCTAAACATAACCCCCTAAATGTAACCTAACTCTAACCACCTAACCCTAACCCCAAACTGTAAACCTAATCCTAAACATAACGCTAACTATAAACCCTAACCCCAAAACCTAACCCTAATACCCAACCCTAACCTCTAACTCCTAACCCAAACTCTATACCTAAACCTAACCCTAACCACTAACCTTAACATGAAGCCTGACCCTGACCCTAACGCCTAGCCCCTAACCCTGAAAGTTAACCATAAACCTAACCACCTAAAACCTAACCCCCTTACCCCCAAACTCTAACCTCGTAACCATAACCCTATTCTCAAATCCTAAACCTAATAACTCTAACTCTTAACCCTAAACCCTAATGCTATACCTACCCCTAACCCTAATGCTAACCCTATCACTACCCCTAACCCCAAACCTAAAATAAACATCTAACCCTACCCCTAGGCCTAACCCATAAACTCTAACCCTAACCCCTAGCCTTAAACGCTAACCCTAAACCCTAATCCTAACTCTAATCCCTAACCCTAAGCATAACCCTTAAGCCTAACCCTAACCCCCTAACCCAAAAACCCTAATCCTAACCCAAACCCCCTATCCATATCCGTATCTCAAACTCTTAAACCTAACCCCTCTAACCATATCCCTCACCCCTAACCCTTAATGGAACCCCTAAACCTAACCCCTAACCCCAAACCTAAACTAAACCTAACCCTAACCCGTAACATAAAAACTAACCACAAAACCTAACCCTAACACTAAACATTAACGCTAATCCTAACCCGTAACCCTGACCATAACCACTAATCCTAACCCCTGGCCCCTAACCCTAAACCCCAACCCTAATTTTAACTCCCTAAATCTAACCACCTAACTCTAACACACTTATTCTAACCCCCTAAACCTAATTCCAAAACCTAACCCTAAACCTAACCTTAACTCCTAATACTAAACCCTAACCATATCCCCAACCCTAACCCTATCACTAACCCCTAACTCTAACCCTTGAACAGTAACCCTAACCTTAACCCTATCCCTAACAATAACCCTAGCCCTAACCCTTAACCCTAACCTTAACCCTAACCCTAAGCCATAACCTCTGACTCTAACCCTAACTCCTAATCCTAACCCCTAGCCCCTAATCCTAACCCCTAGCCCCTAAACCTAAACCCTAGCCCTAAACCTAAACTGCTGAATGTAAGCCCCTAACTCTAACACCCTAACCCCAAAACCTAACCCTAATCCTAAAACTAACGCTAACTAATCCCTAACCCCTGATGCTGACCCTATCCCTAACCCCCTAATTCTAACCCTAACCTCTAACCCTATCTCTAACTCCTTACCCTAACGGCCCTAACCCTAACCCTTATCCTATCCCATACCCCTAACCCTATCTCGTACCCTAACACTAACATTCCAGAGATCTGACGGCTTTTGCCGGTGCCCACAAAGGGCCCTGCTTCCCTCCAGAGTGCCCTAGGGCTTTTGCCGGGTTTTGCTTTGGTCTGCAAGGGGCCCTGCTGCCTTCCAGAGTGCCCTCGAGGCTTTTGCAAGGTCCACAAGGGGCCCTGCTTCCCTCCAGAGCACCCCAGGGCTTTTGCCCGGCTTTGCTGACGCCCAGGCAGGTCTCCGCTGCCTTCCAGAGTGTCTGACAGCTTTTGCCAGGCTTTGCTGGTGCCCACAAGTGGCTCCCAAGGGAAGGCGAGGGCCACTAACAGCTTTCAGTCCTGGCCACTTCTGTGTGGTAGCCCTAGGTGGTGGGTGTGCATTTTGGAGCTGGGCTCTGGTAAGGATGAGGGGGTAGGTGAGGGTTACGTGGTAGAGCAAGCTCAGAGCCCCAGTGTTGGTGGGGCTGTGAAGGGGCTGCCAAGGGAAGGGGAGGGCCACCAACAGCTTTCAGTCCTGGCCACTTCTGTGTGGTAGCCCTAGGTGGTGGGTGTGCATTTTGGAGCTGGGCTCTGGTAAGGATGAGGGGGTAGGTGAGGGTTACGTGGTAGAGCAAGCTCAGAGCCCCAGTGTTGGTGGGGCTGTGAAGGGGCTGCCAAGGGAAGGGGAGGGCCACCAACAGCTTTCAGTCCTGGCCACTTCTGTGTGAAAGCCATGCCTGGCGGGTGTCCATTTTGGAGTTGGACTCTGCTAGGGTGAGGGTGTAGGTGAGTAGGAGTCTTCCTGAACTCAGACTGGAGCCAACAGGAATCTTTCCAATGATTTAAAGGGTGCTGGATGGGATCCTACAGAAAATTGGCACAACTTTGAATTGACAATTCTATTTTGACTAGTGCCTGTCATTTACAGCCCTGCAGATACTTGCACACTAGCTGCTGTTGGAATCCACTAAGTGCTGTTCTTACATGTCAGTCTTGGGATAACTCTGCTTTTGCTCATCTCCAGAACATCCTCCAGTCCTTCTGAAGCCTTTCTGTGATTCACATGCCTCATTTCTCAAATCACCAATAGTTCAGGTTCCTCTGTGAATTAACATGCTACAGTAGGTGACAATCACAAGCCCTGTCCGTCCCTCTCTGCATAACGAATCCTTCTTTGCATGCTCTTTACCTTCCCCCAAGCAAATAATTCATTCTTCCACACTGGCAGGTGACAAATTTGCTGCTTCCAAAAGGAATTCTTGCCTTCTTAGATAATCCTTTTAATGCTTTCCTGTACCCTGGTTGCTAATACTCTCTCACAT